CACCGTTTCGGCCCATCCGTATACGGAACAATAGTAAACACAGAGCGGTCGAGCAGTCCGACAGTTTCCGAGGATTGCCTCCTTAGAAAGGTGAAATCCTGGTGGAAAAGTCGGGAGTAAATTAGACAATGAAACCATGAAAAGATCTCATGCTCGAAAACCTCGACAAACATGGATAAAGAAAAAATGCACGAAAGATCGCATGCACGTACGATAGCTAGACAATCAGACAGAGACCTCTCCTAAGGGGGTGTGAAAAAAATTCCCCGGTAGGGGTTTTTTCAAAAGAGTATGCAACGAGAGACTGATCAATGCTCAAGTAGATCAGTATCTCGCCACACTGCTCCAGCCCCTCCGCATACGGAACAACGTTCAACCCGACAATTTCCGAGGTTTGTAAAGTAGACCATGAAAAGACCGTATACTCGAAAACTCGACATACACGGATAAAGAAAAAATGCACGAAAGATCGCATGCACGCACGATAGTTGGACAATCATAAAGCTCGACATTTTTCATGCAATCTTTTAACAAAGTACTGCTTCTAAAAGATAGGGGTGATGCAAGAGCAGAAAGACTCGCGAGACATTCAGTCGCAACTGAGATCCTAAACAGAAGAAGAAGAATCATCCACGCAGAAAGGGCAAAGTTCCTCAAAAAGATGCGAAGGCTTCAAATCGCAACTAAGATCCTAAACAGAAGAAGAAGAATCATTCACACAGAAAGCGCAAGGTTGCTCAAAATGATGCGAAAACTTCAAATCGTTTGTTCGAGAAGTACATGCTCCAACTTCGAAAAAGCAGTCACCCATCCATGGTAACCATGGTGCCAAGGACATAGGGAGAAATGGAAGGACGAAGGGAGGCGGAGAGAAATAAGGGGGAGAGATAGTCCTGCACTGTGCAGCCAATTGGCTCTGTTACCGCTCAAGGCGAGAGAACCTGCAGCAGATCCACAGGAGGGAGTGGCATTTCCCTGAGCCCTTTCTGCCGCTTGCCACACTCGGCTTCATCAAAGGGAGAGATGAGGGTGAGGGAGAGGAGAAGAGGAGAAAATAGGGGGTTTCGTGTGTCGGGGAGGGACAAAAAAGTTGGGTAAGGGAGAGATAGAGAAAGCGTTCCCCCTTTCTTCTTCTTTTCTCTCGTGCACGTGCACGTGCGTGCTGGCACTTGCTTGCCAGAGCTTGCAATAGAACTATCCCGCCAGTTGATATTGCACACACTGCTCCTGTCAGGAAGATCGCTGCATAGGCAATGGAGAAACAGACGAGCGCAGTCGCGAGCTTGGCTGGGGCGAGAAGGACTTTCTCCGTTCGGCAGGCCCAGACAAGGGAACCGCTAAGGAGCGCATTGGGTATGAGTGCCATGATCAGTGTTGATGCGTAGAAGATAGTGTGCGCAGTTCTGCGTGCGTTCGGATCGGCGATTGATGCAGCGCTAGGATGCTGAGGGGAGGGGGGGCAGGGGGGGGCAGTTGGAGCTCAAGTGATTGGGGGCGCGCGACGGTGGGGGCGGGGGAGGCGGAGGGGGTGGTGGCGGTGGGGGGGGTTGGGTGCTCAGTGGTGGCGAGAAGTCCCCGGGGGGGCACTCCAGGCAGTGCTCCATCAGGGCGGGGGGAGGGGGGAGAGAGGAGGAGGAGCATGGTGGCACATCGTAAGTGGTTGGCGCGCATGGTGAAGGAGGTAGTGCTGCGATGAAGCCGAGGAGCGCTAGGCAGGCGAGCAGTGAGAGGAACGAGACGAAGGCGCAGGACAGTGCGCCCTCGCCAGCTTGGCGCTCATCGGTCCCTTCACGGATCGCCATGCCACTGCGCTAGGCCTAGCTTGCGCGTCGGTTAGGCTGCTCTGATGGGCGCCGGTGGTTCCTGTGTGCGAGACCAGGCTCATGCTGATGCTTGCTAGATGCGGGGCTATACTGGTTCCTGCGACTCCATCGGGTCGTCAATGAGGTCCAGGTCCATGAAGAAGTCCATGTCGATCGTCCGCTTTCTCTCGCTCAGATTTCCCGCTTGATCAGCTGAGGAGGCCACTTCCAGATTCTCCGGCAAGTAATGATGAGTCGCTACAGTGCCCGTTCCCAGCTATTTAACCCGGCTCGGGGAACCACAGTTGCTAGTTGAAAAAGGACGTCGTCCTTACGCCGCCTCTACTTGTCTCGTAGTCCCACATCGGCCGGTTGCATGTGCACTTGGCCTGCTTCCCAGCTCCTATTCATCGAATTGCCTCCCCAATTTGGTCAGGTTTCCGTTGTACCTCTACCGAATCCTTCTCTGGTCCTCACAATCGCTGGTCCGGGGATTCCACTTGACGCCGATGCTCCGTCGTGAGGTGACAAGGGTGGTTAACCAAAGTGGCAAGTGACCGGGACAGGTACAAAAGGTCAAAAAGAACATAGAAAAGAAAAAGAAAAAGAAAAAAGTAAAAAAAAAGGGGGGGAGAGAAAAAGACAGGGAAAAAACAAGGAAAAAACAAGGGAAAAAGACAGGATGGGCCCTCTTTTCTAAGACGCGGGTGGGAGGGTACATGACCCTTCGAGAAGCGAAATGACTGGCTGCTACGTTATCGGTAAATTCCTGTGCAGTTCCTAAGTGCATGGGATCGATCCTGTGTATAGACATGGTGGGAGCGTAACTGTGCTGGTCCCTTTATTGGATAAAGGCGGGGAGCACTATGCCAGCGCTCACCCGGCCTTCGCCGCCTTATTGCAATTTCCCATAAGGGAAGGAAAAGGGAAAAAGAAAAGGAAAAGAAGAAAAAAGAAAAAAAGAAAAAAGAAAAAAGAAAAAAGAAAAAAGAAAAAAGAAAAAGAAAAAGAAAAAAGAAAAAAGAATTGGAGAAAGAAAAAAGAAAAAAAGAAAAAAGAAAAAAGAAAAGAGAAAAAAGAAGGAAGAAAAAAGAAAAAAGAAAAAGAAAAAAGGAAAAAGGATAGACATGGCGGGAGCGTGACTGTGTTGGTCTTTTATTGGATAAGGGCGGGGAGCACTATGCTAGCGCTCACCCGGCCTTCGCCACTTTATTGCAATTTCCCATTAAGGAAAAAGGAAACAAGAAAAAAGAAATAGGAAAGAGAAAAAAAGGGAAGAGAAAGAAAAAAGGAGAAAACAAGGGGAAAAAAACGGAAAAAGGATGGACTGTGCTGCCCACCATAGGTGGTGGTCCTCGAATTGTGGGTAGGATCAGGGCTCCCCCATGCCGTCGATCCTTGCTCCGGCCGATTACCCTCTCCGGTTGAGAAGGAAGAAGGAAGAAGGTTCCTGTGAGCGTGTGTGTGTGTGTGTGTGTGCGTGTGTGCGTGTGTGTGTGTGTGCGGGGGGGAGGGTTGGAAGGACCTCCCCCACCAATCAATCAATCAATCAATCAATCAATCCAAAAAAAATCAATCAATCAATTTTTTTTTTTTTCTCTTTTTCACACACCAAAAACTGCCCCCCCAAAATTAGTTTTCTTAACTTTTTTCTGTTCGAGGGGGTAGGGTCAGGGTTTCGGAACCCCAACCCGAACCCCCCACCCCCAACCCCCTCTCCCCTCGGCCGTGGTTGGCCGCGGCAGACCGCGGCCGCGGGCAGCGGTTGTGCCGGAGGTGACCACGGGTGCGGATGTTTCATAGCGACCCCCTGCAATCGAGTGCGGCCGCAAACCCCCGATTTTTAATTGCTAGGAAAATAGGCGAAAAAAAAAGAGGGGGGGTGTAGGGTTTGAAAATCCCTACATCCCATATTTTTGCTTTTGGATTTGAACGTTTTTTTTTTTTTTTAATAGGAAACGAAAAAACAAGTTTGTAATCAAAAGGAGTTTAAGGACCATAATTTAAAAAAGGGACTTTTTTTTTCCTCATTTTTTTCAAATTGCTGGTGGGATAAACATGGTGCACATGTTTCTTTGATTCTTTATTTCACAGACATATGCAAATATAAAAGGGAAAAGACTTAAAAGAAGATAATAATGAAAAAAAATCAGCCAAAGCCGTTTTTTTTTCCCTTCTTCTTCTTCCTTTTCTTTTTTGACAGACACACATACTGATTGATTGATTGTGATTGGTTGGTTGGTTGATTGATAAATTGATTGATTGATTGATTGAACAAAAAAAACAAACAAAGGAACGCGCGCTTTGTGTATGTGTGTGTGTGTGTGTGTGTGTGTGTGTGTGTGTGTGTGTGTGTGTGTGTCAGTGTGTGTGCGTGCGTGTGTGTGTGTGTGTGTGTGTGCGTGTGCAGAGCTGGGCGGGAGGGAGGACCCCTCCCCCACCAATCAATCAATCAACGTGTGTGTGTGTGTTTGTGTGTGTGTGTGGCTCAAGTGATTTATCTTCATTTTCTCATTCTAGAAAAGAATATAAAATTCAAACGAAACAATCATATCAATAAACAATAAAAAAAAATTGATTTTAAAAATTATAATTATCTAGTTATCACCAAAAGTTCAAGTCCACAAAAGTTTGATTTTAATAAGTAAGAATAATCAATAGAAATAAATCCTTGATTGAATTTTCTATTCAATGCAAATCATTCATAAATAGTTTCTTGTGCGTGTGCGGAGCTGGGCGGGAGGGAGGACCCCTCCCCCACCAATCAATCAATCAATCAATCAATCAGTCAATCAATCAATCAAAAAATTAATCAATCAAGCAACCAGTTAAAAAAAATTAATCAATCAATCAATCAATCAATCAATAAATTTTTAATTTTTTTTGAGTTTTTTTTGCATGCCCCAACTACCACCACCACCCCCGAAAACCGTTTTTTTTTTACTTTTTCTTCATCTTGAGGGTAGGGTGGGTTTTCCCAATTCGCAACCCCCACCCCCAACCGGCTCCCCCTATGGGCGCTACACGGCCGCGAAAATCGCACCGGCCTCATGACTGGGGCCGCCGGTCGTGACTGCTGCGATCGCGTTGGGGGGGATTCGCACATGATGACCAGAGCTCAGTAGAAGAAGTCCTAGTGTGAGTTTATGCGCTCACTCCCTGCTGGTGGTCACCTGACCTTAACACTGGCAGACGACCCTTGGGTAACGGGTATTGCTACTGCTGGAACTTGGTCATCCCCATGGTGATGATTCGAACCTCGACATCATCGACTGCCTACCGGAACCCATATGAGCATACTGAGGTTGTCCATGCATGCTTCCTCCATAAGCACTCTGTTGCCTGGAGGTTCCCACCTGGCCATGGTAGGAGTCTCCAGCATAATGACTTCTGGTGTCCCTGTGTGCTCCCTCTCGACCATGATAGCCTGGGCCGTAGTGGGCAGCTCCTGGTCTGGAGAAGTTGGTTGCTTGCCCGTGCCTTGTCGGGTCTTGCCTGTGTGCACCAAAGACTGGTGGAAACCAATGGCCTGTGCCCTTTCTTGGTGTGTGCTGCTGGGCTTTTCTGCTGGTAAGCAGACCCCTCGATGGTGCCCTGACGACCGTTTCCCTGTAGGCGAAGTGTGAAGCCGTTGCCCTCTCCATCTTCTCCATTGCGTCCTTGATTGCCGGGCCGTTGATCTCGAGATCGAAAAGGCTCTGCACGCTCTTGTGGATTTCCTCCGGAGAAATCCTGGCACCCCCGGACTCCTCAGAAGAGTTGCCCTGAGCTGACTTATGGCTCAGCGCCGCCGTTAGGATCTTCACCTCCTCCCCGTACTCCGCCCGGAGTCTCTCTAACCCGTGCAGGACTTGCGCGTTGTTCGCCCCCGCAGCCCGAAGGCTCCTCTCCTCCTCTATCAAGTGGTTGAGGTACTCGAGCGTTGCGTCGTTGTACGGACTGATGGCGTTGTGTTTCAGAAACATGGCGAATCTTGCGCTCGTCTTGTAGATGGCCTGCTGCTCGGCGCGCAGCTTCACTGCCCTGTCCTGCATCTCCTTGACGATTCTCTGCAGCTCGGCCCTTGCCTGCTCTTCGGTCTGGATCCTCTTGCCAATGCTATCGTCCCTCTTATCGGTCTTCACCATCTTTGTCTCTACCATCACATGCATGTGGTACGACCAATCACAGCCGCAGTTCGTGCACTTCCCCTCCGGTCCCATTGGCCCACAGTTCCGCAGGTCCGGGTTGTTGAGCGTCTCCACCTCCACGTTGCGCAGATAGCAAGGTGCGTGGCAGCGAGTCCTGGAGTCGTACTTAGCTACTCCGCCAATGGTGACCATGTCGCGGCACCTAGATCCGCCGCACACAGTGTGAGGCTGGTCCAAGGCTTTGTTCTCAATGTCTTTTGAGGTCAGACACAGTGCTTTTCGAGGAGGCATCTTGCTTCATCTTCTCGTCGATGAGCTTGATGTTGATCTCGATCAGACGGCTGATGTCGCCCAGGGGCCTCGAGAGCCGCAGGATCAGCCGCCGGGCCTCGTTCACGGACAGCGTGTCTTGCACTTGATGGGGTGTGAGACTGCGAATGCGCTCCATGAGGCGCCTGCACTCTCTGACGGACACCACCCAGCTCTGTGGGAAGTCGTCCATCTGCTCGAGGGTGAATGACACCCCCTCATTCACCGCTGCCAAGGAGCGGAAGGACTCGTTGTCGAGGCAGTAAATGGTGCGCTTGGTGACCTCGATGTGAACGTGCGGAGGGGTGTCGCGCACCTTGTCGAGCATCGCCATCAACGGCGGCATCGTGTCTCCGGGGCGATAGAACGTGGACCTGGCGTTGGTGAAGACGAAGACGATGTTGTCCTTGGCACTTTTGTGGATATGGCTGAGCAGCTCCATGATGCAGAAGCGAAACATCACGTTCAGTCTTGCGTTGTTAGGCTTAAGAAGGATGCAGATGCCGTGAACGTACTTGTGGTGCCCGAGAAAACGCAGGATGTTGTCGAAGTTCTTCTTGTCCTGCTCGATCCCCCGTGTGTCGCCTATCCCAGGGGTGTCAATCAGACGGACCTTGTGCTCCCCGTAGTTGAACACATAGGCTTTGCAGGCTTGCGTGCAGGATTTGCCAGCCCCCTGCTCCTCGTTGGTATCTCGTAAGCCAATGGTCACGGCGATCCCCTTGTAATCATCAACCCCACACACCGTGAACTGTGACGGTATGAGGGCAATGAGCTCGTCGCCGGCGTCGCTCATCTCGTCGTACCTCAGGTAGTTGGCGAAGGCGTTGATGAACGTCGACTTGCCCACTCCTGTCTCCCCGAGAAGCAGAATGTTGATCTCCTGGCTCCTCTGCATCAGGGTCACCTCCCTCTCAAGATCAGCTTGCAAAAGGTACCGCATGTACCCCTCACCGTGCGCGTGGTCTCGGCAGAGGAAGCTGAGAGAAGAAAGGCGGGAGCGGCCGCAATCGCAGTAGACATAGCCGTCCCAGCCGTACTCCACTTGAGCGGCACATCTGTCGCAGTGCCAGGTCCTCACCGACGACTGGCAGTGGCCAGTGATTGCCCCAGGGCAACGGATTCGCAGCGGTGAGGCCTGGTGGGGACCACCTCCGGCACCGTGCGTGGTCGTGCTCGCCTCATCATCGCTCTTGCTCGGCTCCACGTGGCTTGATCTCACAACGTCCAATGTGGCAAAATCTTTCCACGTGTGCCAGACGTCGTCGTAAACCAGTTTGCCCATCCGACAGAATCTGATAGCTGCGTTCGTCGTCGTCGTCGGAGCTCCTCCTCGTCCACCACCTCCTTCTCCTCCTCTTCCTTCTCCTGCGTCGGCAACACCAGGCGGAGGAAAACTCGTCGCCGGGCAGCCATATCCTCCTCCGCCTCCTCCTCCTCCTCCTCCTCCTCCTCCTCCTCCTCCTCCTGAGAGTGGATCTTCTGGTAGGTGAGCGCGAGTCTGGTCACAACCAGACGGCACGAGCTCGAGGAACAGGAAGACACGGGCAGCAGAGCCATCGATTCCGAGTGAGAAACCGCATGGCCCAGAAAGGGGGTTCGTGCTGCTGCTCGCTCCTCTGTGCAGCTCGTTGCCACTGCCATTGCAGCCATAGCCGAGGCGGCCGCCGCTCTTTCGACGACGACGCTCACTCTCCACCACCAGGCTCTTGAGCACCTCCATGTTCTTTCCCCAAAGCTCATCGTTTTGCGCCGACATGTCGTAACTGACCATAACGTACACGCAGTCGTCCTTGTGACGGGAAAGGATGTCTGCAATGACAGATTGATGGTCATTTACATCATCTCGGCGGACAAACTCGATGCCGCTGCGGTCCAAGTCCTGCAAAAAGAGCTCCCTGTGCTTGATTCGATTCGACTCGCTTTCGAAGAACATTCGCTGGTCATCCAAGCAGAAGCTGTGCCAAAAGCAATCCACAAACTCCAAGAGAGGAATGGAGTCCTGATTGCCCCCCGCGGCAGCGCGAATGTTGACGGTCAGCTGGGCGACTCTCTCCCTCAGTTGCTTCAGCTGGAAACTGAGGTTCCTCCTCATGTCGCGCACGTCAGCGAGCTGAGCTTTGGAGACAACAAGCTCTCCGAAAGACCTGCTGGACGCAAGCATCTGTCCAAGAAGGCGGTCTATGTGCTCCCCAAGGTCGAACAATCCCTGAAAGATCCTCTCGATCTGGGCAATGGACTCCTCGTTGGGTGCAGAAGGACCGACAGTGCATGGAGAGACGACCGGTGCACGGCCAGAGAGGGAGGTAGACTGTCGTTGGAAGAGTGCCAGCGAGGGCGCAGCAGGTCCGCGAGGGGAGACAGGTAGAAGATGACGGGAGCCGCCTCCCCTTGTTTCTCTCCACAGATCTGTGAGGCGCACTGCAGCAGTAATTCCTCAAGATAGGAAAGATGTCTAGGGCTCTCTCCTGCTTCTGATCGCCATGCCAGGTCTGTGAAGATCCGGACAGTGAAATCCCTATCGTCCTCGTCGCCACGAGGGGGTTTCACAAACCCACCACCTCTGCGGACTCCCCCTCCGGCGCCGCGTCCGCTGCCGTACCTGCCGACATAGCCGCCGTCGTCTTCGATGCTCGCTGGCGGCGGCATGCTACTCATACCAATGCCACCGCGCTGAGAGGATTGGAAGAGCCCGCCAAAACCAGAATTGCAACGAGGCTTACCTTCTTCCAGGTGCGGAAGGGGCAGCCCGCTGCCGAAGCCCGCATCATCGTTGCTGGTCGGGATGGTGGTCCCCCCGCTCCCGCCAGGAGCCCTGTGGCACACGGAGGCTTCAAGCGCCGCCACGTGTCGATCGAGCCTTGTCTGCAGCTCCACCGCCGTTCTCGATCCCTCATCCTTCGCCAGCCCCGTGATGACCGCCACGACGGTGGCTCCTCTCACGATCCCGCTCACAAAGTGCGTTGGCCCTGCCCCTCCATGCCAGCTCCCAGCAGCAGCCAGACTGCTTATCTCGTCTGCAATCTGTTGGGAGGAGGAGGGAGACACCTCCAGGTAGTGCTCGCTTGCTAGCACTTGACAGAAAATTGTGGCCTTCGCCGTTCCTTCGCCGCCGCCGCCGCCGAAACAACCCCAGGCCGTGCCGCTGCCGCTGCCGCCGCCATCTCCACCGCCTAGCCCTTCCATGAGATACCTCCCCGGTCCCTCCAGGTTGAAAAGACCGGCAAGAACGCTGAGCTTGAGCTGAGAGTTGACGTCAAGCGTTCGAAACCTAGTCAGCAATGAGTCATCAGCAACGCGGGACATTCGAATGGATCGACAAGCTTTGGACACGTGGCCGAAATTGTCCGTGCACGAGAGTCGGCTTCTACTGCTTCCCCTGTCAGCAAAGAACGCGTCTGCACGCACGTCGTACAGATCCCCTAGGTCTGCCAGTCGACCAAGAGCGGCCATTTTGATCAAAGGGCCACCTCTACTCGACGGCTTCTCTCCTCCGAAAGACCCCTTCCGCTCCGCCCTCCCCGTGTTTATCAACTCAGTTGAGCTCATCGGACAGACGATCCTGTTCACCATCGTTTTGGAGAAGGCCTCGATCTCTTGACTTATGTCTCCCATCTCGAAGTAGTTCCGATGGAGATCTGCCAGCGCATTCGACAGGCTTGCTACGCCCATGCCCTTGGGCTCTTCTTGCACCTCGATGGGCGCACTGGTAGTCATGTACATAGACGTCTGCGCTACTTTCCCCTCGATCGCCGAAGAGTCCCGCGGCGACCCCGTCCATGCCTCCGGCGCCGCGATCGCAAACCTTGATCCCGACGCCGTCGCTCCAATCGCCACCATTGATCGTGGCGCCGACTCTTCCATCGCCACCGTTGATGATGGCGCCGCGGCCATCGCCAGCTTCGATGCTGGCCTCTCCGCCTTCGACACCAGTCGGGCAGGTGCAGCCGCCATGGCCACCGTTAATGCTGGCGCCGCCGTTGATGCTGGCGCCGCGACTATCTCCACCGGTGATGCTTCCGCCGCCATCGCCCCAATAGACACCGTTGATGATGACGACGCTGTTGACGTCCCCGTTGCTTATGTCGGCCCTGACGAAGCGGGCGCATACGACATCGCCGTCGTTCCAGCTGTCATGGGCCTCTCTCACCAAGCCCAGTCCAACCTTTGTGTATTCTGACGCCTCGAGACAGTCCTGTTCTCGCTCTCTGCCCGCTCAGTGGAATAACACCACCTCCGTTGGTTTCGATCCCCTTACCTCAGCCGCTCCAGAAGTCTAGTGTCACATTGATCCGCCATAGAATTTGCATTTTATTTTTTATTTTTTTTGGGAAAGAATTTGCATTTAATTTACTGGTGGATTAATTTGACAAGTCCAGAAGGTGCTAACAAAATCTGCGAGCGCTGCCTCTTGGTTTCTCAAAAAAACAATGGACACTCTGATTACTTCTTCAGTTCACGCACTTACACGTGGACGACTCCCCAGATATGGCGAAAGCCGCCGTCTTCTTCATTCCTGGAAGATGGCAGACCACACGGAGGGCGACCGTGCATGCTCCTAGCATTTCTTTTAGGGAATATTTTTCTCGCGCTCCTGTAATTTCCATTATTTCGCGTCGCGCCCCTCCGGCGGCCAACTTACCCTGTCGTGCCCCTCTGACCACGATTAAAATTTCCCATAAAACCCCGGCGTCGGCTGGGCCTGACTACTTTTGTTTTGCCCCTACCGGTACCCTTTCAACATTTTCAGTATGCCCCTACCGGATAGGTACCAGCACCAAAATTTCCCATATGCCCCTACCGGTAGGGTGCATGTTCTCAGCGCACCTCTATGGCTACGCGCATGGAGGCCACTTCATTTCTCTCTCTCTCTCTCTCTCTCTCTCTCTCTCTCTCTCTCACACACACACACACACACGCACGTCGCACACACACACACACACACACATGCACACACACGCACACATACATGCGCGCACACACAAACACACACACACACACGTGCGCATGGCCATGAAGGCCACTTCATCTCTCTCTCTCTCTCTCTCTCTCTCTCTCTCTCTCTCTCTCTCTCTCTCTCTCTCTCTCCCCATATGGCTGTGTGTCATTGTTGCTCAGGCCCGCACAGGGGTCCAAGAAAAAAAAGAAAAATTGTTGCGCAGGGGCGAGGACCGACTAGCGCCATATTATACCGTGGGACCGTGGCGTATGACACCCTTTTGGCATTTGAAAAATGGTTTCCGTAGTTTTTTGCAGATTTGAAAAACTCTCTTTGTTCAGTTTAGGGTGCTCCGGTCAGCCAATGGACTGTGAGCCATGGAATTCATAGCCGCTTTTCCTGGGTGAGTGCTGCACTCACACAATGGGGTGGGTCCCCTGAAGGTCATTGCTGCCAGGTCATTATGTTTTTTTTTTTTTTTTTTTTTTTTTTTTAATTCAAAATTTTCAATTTTTACCTAAATCTTAATAATGATTCCCATATATCCGGCTCAACCTATGATTTGCTTAGGAATTCTTTATGGATTACTAACAATATTTTGCGTTACACTCTCTCAAATAATTCCAAAGCTATATTATTATCTCAATTTTTATTATTATTATTTTTTTAATTGGCCCGATGGACCATCGGATCAGATATTAAACCACCAGTACTTGGGCACTGCGCGCCGCGCCAGCCGCCCAATTCTCGAAGCAGCGACGGCCTGCCGGCCGCGGAAATAGCCTAGTGTTAACGCTAAGGCGTTGCCCAAGTACTGGTGGTTTAAACTGATAAGTACAGATACTACACTTGATCTTAGCCAAAAGGCCGAGAAAGGTATATTCTCTCAATTTCACCTCACACTACCTACCTAAACTGATCAGTACAG